AGTAAGAAAGCACTTTGTACTATGCTTAAACTAATACTTGGTCTGGGATGGGGGTGGGGTAGCTCAAAAGAGCTGTTACGCACTTTGCACGAGACCAGACAGGAGCCATCTTAGTCAAGCTGTACTACTGAGGTAGCTACATGTTTAGATTATTACTGCTAGTTTTCAGCCATTGATCCTTCATTCCCTGTCAAAAGAAATGTGGTTTTGTCATAGTAATCTAACTACTAGCAACTTCTCTGGTTTTTAAAGGATGTATGAGTTAGCCATTTTTGTGATGTACTCAATCCCATACTTGATGATTTAAAGCAAACATTTATTAATGCCATTTGAGATTCTGCCCATGTAGACTTGATTCAACTGGTAACTGCTCACAGTGGCTTGCTTAGGCTAAACGGAGACAATTCTCCAAAGGCAGAGAAACCAAGGCTTTTTGAGGTTTGGTTTGGAATTAGTTTACTTTTCCTGCCGTGAAACATGCATGTTACATGGACTGGAAGATGTGCTCTTCTTCCATGGGGAGCATTCATATATCACTTGGCAGAAGCCATGGGTACAGGAGAAATTAATCTAATTGGAATATGGTTGGAGATACTACAGGCAACTGCAGGAGCCCTGGACACGTGTTCTCCTTTCTGCAGATTGCGTCTGAGGGGAGGGTGGCTAGTAGAAATCAAACCAGTCAGCAGTGTTTGCTTTGGTTTCTTATCTTTTACAAGAATTTGTTTCCATAGAATGTCAGTCAAAGAAAGGTGGTCACACCAGAATGTAATTTTAGGCTCTCTGGCAACAGGAACAGTTTCTGTGGACTGAACCTCAAATAGCCATGCAAAGGCTTATTTATTATTACACAAAAGTTTTACCACAAGTTCGCATACCAAAGCCCCTGATCTTATCTGTGTTTTCTGAGGGTCCTGGAACTTTAATCCTTATTATGTACTGTTTGTGGCAGGCAGTAATTCGACACGCTCCAGGTGTGCCAGGGTCATCTTGTGACAGAGTCAGGCAAAGGCTGTAAAGCTCCTGCAGTGGTGGTGCAGGTTTACTCCCAGTACTCGGGAGGCAGAGACAGGAGGATCTCTGTGAGTTCAAGGCCAGCCTGGACTATAAGAGCTAGTTCCAGGATAGGCTCTAAAGCTACAGAGAAACCCTGTCTTCGAAAAACCAAAAAAAGAAAAAGAAAAAGAAAAAAGAAAAACAACTCTGTAGATAAGAGTACACTGTTTTTTCACAATTATTTCTTTAGGGTCTAAGTACTCCTAGAAAACAACCATACACTCTTAATGTTTACCCTAGATACAGTGATCCTACTGCAGTGTGATTTGTGAAAAATAAGACCAAAGCTCAATTAATAAAACTCAGAGACAGAAATTGGGGTTCAACCCTTAAGACCAGAAAAGGAAAACAGCCAGCCACTGACACTTACCTTTACCTCAGTCTGAAATGACAACCCTGCCTTCAGGAATCTCAGAATAAGACTGTGAGAGCTATCTCCTCCTGTCTTATAGTCCTCTCTAGTGATGGGATTAAAGGCATGTACTGCCCGGTTTCTGTGGCAGCTAGTGTGGCTTCTGGGATTAAAGGTGTGTGTCACCACTGCCTGGTCTGTAAGACTGACCAGTGGGGCTCTTTTATTCTGATCTTCGGGCAAGCTTTATTTATTAAAATACAAATGAAATGCCACAACGTAAGACCGTATCCCTGAGTTTCCCAAGAACAATAACCTGACTAGGGAAGTGCTATGGCTAGATCCATTTTGTTATTTCAAAGGATCCTCTTTGAGTTCCCAGCACCCACGTGGTAGCTCACAGCCATGTCTATCTCCAGTTCCAGGGAATCTGATGCCCCTCTGGCCTCCATGGGCACTGCACGCGCACGCACACACACACACACACACACACACACACACACACACACACACGATGCACATTCATTCATGCAGGCAAAACATTCATATACATAAATAAATCCAAAATAGAAAATGAAGAGTCTAGTGGGCTAGAGAGATGGTCTAGTCATTAGGAGAACTTGTTCCTCTTACAGAAAACCTACGTTTATTCTTAGCACCTCTAAATGATTGCTTAGAGCCACCTGTAATTCCAGCTCCAAGGGACTGAATGTCTTCTGAACTACATGGGCACCTGCACACACAGCATAAGTACAATAAAAACTTTTTATCTTTAGAACCTTAAAACGGGCTTTAAATGTTTGAATTCTGAATTCACAATGTTGCTGTGTTACCATTTCACTAAAATACATTGACCCTATCATGGCCTGCAATGTGTGCAGGTCAGTGGCTCTGTATGACTGCCGAAATCCAAACCAGAACCATCGTCTGTGGCGGTTCAGTGGGCAGATCGAGAGAGTGACCTGGAACCACTTCTCACCATGTCATTTTTTGGTAAGAATATGCACATTGCTTTTTCTAATTCCTATGAGATAGTCTCAGAAAAGCATTTTCTCTGTTTAGAAGTGTGAAGCTTCTGGGTCTTAGAATTGAAAACACTGTTTCTTAACAATATAATGGCTTAACTACAAAAAAAAAGGTAGCTTGTGAATGACTTAGCTAATTTTCACCTATTCCAGTGTGCTTCGTATTATATTTCTAGCCATTTTACTACATACTAGTTCTTTTGAGATATTAACCATCATAATACTGTTTCAAGATTTTGAGGTAGGACCTGAACTTGCAGGTCCTCCTGCTCCTACCTATTTCTGGTGTTTTTCAATAGTTAATCAGTCCAAAAGATACTCTTACTCAAATCCTTATGCGTAATGGAACTCTAGAGATGATCAATAGCAAAGACTTTCCAAAGATTTCACTAATGTCAACCAAAGTCCTAGTGTCGCAATCCATAGGAGTGCATTCTGAGAAATAACGCTGCTCAAAAGACAGGAGGTGTTTGTCTTTTGATTAGCATACAAGTTAACAGGTTTCTTTGTGGCATTTCCTTTTAGTTAGTTTGGATGGTTTGGTTGTTTTTGAGACAAGGTTTCTCTGTGTAGTCTTGGCTGTCTTGGAACTCGCTCCGTACACCATGCTGGCTCAAGCTCCACCTGTCTCTGCTTCCTGAGTGCTGGAACTAAAGGTGTGTGCCACTACCACCTACTGCTTTGTGGCATTTTCATTTAGGCTTCATTTTGGTTGACTTTTTGTTCCCCACCATGCCCCTTACTTTTCCTAATGTATCCTTTGCCCTCAATGTTCCCCACTGTGTAGTTCTCTTTTTGCTTTAATATTTCGTGTGTTCTGTTGTCGCCCTTAAAAAAAAAAAAACTGGCTTTATTTGTTTTTAGTTTGCAGACTTAGTTCATGTGTATTATGTGTTCATTCACTAGCTTTCTCTTTGATAATAGGAAGCCTGATATAAAGTAGCCATCATGAAAACATGTGAAAGCAGAAGTCACAGTGATGTTAAATGCCCATGTTTCTAAGAAAATATAATGTATACACACATGCATTTTAAACAAGCTGTGCCTTATAGTATATTTAGTGTGCAATCATGTTTATGGGAAAATAATGAAAATGCTTTTAAGTATTCTTAGCTGTATAACATAAAACTGTGTTCCTAATTTGTAACCACCCCAATCATAAAAACCTGAAAAGTTGGTCGGTAGATAGGCTTGCCATTTCCAAGTGTGTTTAGCCTATACTGGCTTTCTCCCCCCTTCACTTCTTCTACTCTGGGACACAGTGTAACTGTATCCCAGGCTGGCCTCAAAGTAATTGTTCTGCCTCAGCCTCTTTAGAGCTTATAGCAATGTATCACAGCTTCTTTATGTACAAACTGTAAAATGTTCCAGTCTAGCTAATTAGGAAATTGAGCAAGAAAAGAACACTTTTTAGTTTTAGGACAACTTTGTGAGAAATTAAGCTTTCAAACAGTGTTTCTGAGAAGGTCATGTGTTTTCACCATAAGATCAAAGACTGTACCCCCCCTCCCAAAAAAAGAATATGTAGCCTAAGGTGACCCGCAGTTTCCATCCATTCTGGCTGTCTCCAGAGTGCTGAGATTACTGGCTGCTACCACACCTTAGCCTGTAATAACACCCTTCTAACTTCCACCAAAATTCTGGAATTACAGGTCAGTTACCATTGCCTGGTCTGTAAGGCTGACAGTGGGGCTGTTACACTCTCTAATCTCCAGGCAAGCTTTATTTATTTATTAAAATACAAATGAAATGCCACTACAGCCAGCTCCTACTCTGCAGGCTCCCACTTGAGGAACTGCATTGCAAATCACTGGCACAATATGTACAAGAATTGGTGCTGTTACGACACCAATTGTAGAGGTACCTAGTCATTTCACCCTGGGGCGCATGAGATTAATGCATCATACTTATGTTCACCCCTGAATCCAGCTTTTGGATAGAGGATTTTGAAGGATTTTTTTCTGGTTTGTCATATTATTTCATTTTAATGAGTATTTTACCTGTGTGTACCATGTGTATGCAATGCCTGTGAAGGCCGGAAGATGGCCTCAAATCACCTAGAGCTACAGTTAATGGCTGCGCTACCATGTGGATGCTGGGAATTGAAGCCAGTTCCAATCTTAGGCCTCACTTATCCCACCTCTTCCTGTGCTGGTGTTGCCCCCAGTTCTTGAGCCTCAGAGCTTATTTTCCTCTGTCAGAACCCTGCTGTGGCAGTGCTGAGACTTGATCTGATCACACCATTCCTCTAAATTCCTTATTTGCTCCCCACATCCATCTTCTTTCCTCCTCTGCCTCTCATTCTGTGCGCCCCTCAGCTCACACCTGCAGCAGAGGCCCTCAGCCAGCCTCTGTGCCAGCCCAGCCCAGGTATTCCTCCTGCCCAGTACAGTGAATGCACTTCTGAGTTCCCAATCCCACTCTCTCCTTCATAAATGTAGCTCGTGCAAAGTTCTCGTGTCTGTTTTTAATTTCTACTAAATTCTATATTTACTATAATTTACACACTTCTCCACTGCCAAATTTTATTGTCATATAACATGGTCTTGCCCATCCTTTATGCTGCAGGCCAGTACAGATGACGGCTTTGTGTATAATCTGGATGCGCGTTCAGACAAGCCAATTTTTACGCTTAATGCACACAACGATGAAATCTCTGGTGAGCAAGAGTGATGTTTCTTTCCAATGCATTAAGTTATGACAAAATAAGTCTAAATTTCAGACAGTAGCTCCTGAACTAATCTTATCTTCCAGGTCTTGAGCTGAGCAGTCAGATCAAGGGCTGCCTTGTGACTGCTTCAGCAGACAAATATGTGAAGATCTGGGACATCCTAGGAGACAGGCCAAGTCTCGTTCATTCTAGAGACATGAAAATGGTGAGCATCTCCTGACACTTTTATTGTGGCTCTGACCTGTTTGCTCGTCTAACTTTGGTATTTTAAAGAATTCAGTTACTATCTGAACTCCTCAGGGTCACAAGCTTAAGTGTCACTTGACAGGATCAAGAATGGGGGAAGGGACATAAGAAGTGGCCGTTTAAAATTTTGGAACTTCAGCACTTGAGTTATTGGTTGATTGTGTGCGTGTGCGCACAAAGCGGAACAGGGTGCTTACTGTGAGCGCTGAGTTACATGAGCAACGTGTAGAGTACAGAAGAGCACCACAGCTGTCAAATACCACGTGCATTCGGGCCGTGAACTTTCTTAATTCGATTTTAAGCTTATGTGTAAATGACTACGTGATTTCGTACTTATCCTAATAACAAATGCTATCACATGAAAGGATTTCCTATTTTTCTCATTCATACTTTCAGTAATGCATATTTCTAATATCGAGTATTAAGAACAGTAATGCTGAAAGTTTCTTAATCTAAGGGGGTCTGGAGAGATGGCACTGTAAAAAGAAACAACTCGTACAAGTTGTCCTCTGACCTCACACATGCTCAGTGGTAGAGCACCTGCGCATATGCAAAAGGATCATTTCAGAAAAAAAGACTTCACAGTGATCTAAGGTAACAGTTGTTTAAAAAGATGAATAGTTTCTGGGTGTACACAGCAACCTAGGCAGGTGACTCATGCCCAGCTTCGTGGCAGTGCTTATCTAGTGGGGCTAAGGTTAGAACTATCTGGAAGGAGGGAAGTCACTTTTTTCTTCTCTCCCCAGGGAGTTCTCTTTTGTTCTTCTTGTTGTCCTGATTTGCCATTTGTCTATGCCTTTGGAGGTCAGAAGGAGGGGCTTCGCGTTTGGGACATAAGCACTGTATCTTCAGGTGAGAACCTCCAAGCTCCTGCTCTTTGTGAAAGTAAAGAGTAAGGGCTAAGCACGGGTGGGAATATCATGGATGGGAAAGGCCTGCCCAGTGTGCATCCTGTAGTCCTTGCTGCAGAAATGGGGAGTCTGTGTTCACACCTAAAATGGACAAGCTAGAAGGAAATGTAGCAGTCTCAAGGAAGAGCCTTTCTTCCTTTCCCAGGTGCCACAATGCATGAATGTGTTCATTTCTCAACTGCTTTCTACAAGATAAGTAGTGTTAACTTACTGTCCCGTCGTGCTCTCCCCCTCCCCCCCCCTTTCTGAGACAGGGTTTTTCTGTGTAGCTGCCTGGAACTCGCTCTGTAGACCAGGCTGGCTTCCAACTCACAGTCTGCCTGCCTATGTCTCTGGAGTGCTGGGATTACAGGTGTAATGCCACCACTGCCTTACTACTTACTGTGTCCTGTAGACAGGATGTCTCCACTAAATTCTCCCTAGATGATAAGGATCCTAAGATTTGTTCGGGTTGCTAATTTGAATTCATAGACATGAAATGTGTAGAGATTATATATAAATCTGTACCAGAGCCCTGTTCCAAGGCAGATTTAAGCTCTGGGGCAAAGTACAAAACGATGATTAAGGGCCGGGCAGTGGTGGCACATGCCCTTTAATCCCAGGAGGTAGATCTGTATGAGTTTAAGGACAACCTGGTCTACAAGGGCTAGTTTCAGGACAGGCTCCAAAGCTACAGAAAAACCTTGTCTCAAAAGAAAGGAAAAAAAAAAATGAAGATTCACTCATTTGGTCAGGCTTACAACTTGGCTACTTTCTCACTTTCTATTAAATATAAATTTACTGTCTTATACTGTAGTCCTTACCTCCTTATCTCATGGTTCTTTTTAGTGAATGAAACATTTGGAAGACGGGAGAGACTGGTTATTGGCAATGCGAAAGGCTTATCTGTTAGTGGCCCTTGCGGGAGTGGGAGCTCCCAGACACCAATGGAGTCCTGACAAAAATCACAATCTCCTGGGATGTTTACATGAACTCAGAGTTTCAAAAAGCTGGCCTAAAAATGTTCCATGTGTACCTACAGCCATACAATGATGGAAGGAAAATTCAGTTCCTGTTGCCATTCCTCTGCGGCCTTGGCAGTCCACTGCCTCTGCCTTCAGCTGGGTATTGTACAGTTCTTTCATTTCTTGAAAATAAAAGTTTTTAGAGAATGATTCCTTAAATATGTCATCTGACCTAGAACTGTAGGTTTATACTATATGCATAGTAACTGAAGAGTTCTGGAGACTGGGTCTTGCTGTGTTAGCCAGGCTGCACTGGGGAGAAGGGAGACGGGAAATTTTCTAGCTGGTCTTCACCTTCGCATGGTAGGTTCTAGAACTAGATTCAGGCTCGTGTGTTTGCAAAGCAAGCATTTTACTGACTGCGCAGTTTCTTTAGCCCATTTTGTTTTTAAAATGGGATTCCTAAAGGAATATTAATCATGTTTTTTGACAGTGCTATTGTTAAAATGCTTTTGTTTACAAACTTAACATTTTTTTTCAAGACTGTTTTCTTTGTCCCAATATTTAAAAACTATTTTAGGGGAGTTCATATGAATTTTCTATAATCAAAATATTTTACTAGTAGACAACAAACTGTCAGAGTATGCTGAATAAGTTTTGGTTCCAGTAAATTCTCCCTCTACTTCCTAACATATGCCTTTCTTTTCAAATGAACTTGAATTGCATTTATATAAAGCACTCTGGACTTAGAATTGTACACTGTTCCCTTTATTTCACTTAGCCTCACAGGACAACTTTCCACTCAGTTCTTTCTCCTTTCAAACTTCAGCACTTGCTAAACCGATTTGAAAGTCTTATGTTATTAATACTTGAAGTGAATAGGATGTTCTCTTATTTTAAAGTACTACAGTAGTACATTCTATTTGTCATTAAAATACACCTCACTTATGCTTTAGTAAGTGTTTAGGCTATTTCTCAAGCCTCATCAGAATTTGCGTGGTCGTTATGTGTTTCACACACAATGGCTGCTGTGTGGCAGATAATGGGGAAAGCGCAGGATGTAGAACTAGGTCCTATCTTAAAAAACTACCTGTCACTCACTCCTGTCAGGCTTTGGTAAGAGCCTACAAGCTGTTACTCTGAAGAAAAAATTAACACGTAGTAGGGTGTAACATACTTCCCCTTCTAGATAATTGCTTTGGCTCTGAGCTTGAAACTAAAAGATGCTGTCCTGTAATTCACACATATGACTCGATTTTTCCAGACCTGTTCTTTCTCAAAATCCTTTACTAAGTCAGGCTTACCAAACACTTTACTCCTTGTCTCTTCTGATAGGACCTTATCATTCCTGCTCCTAGACTTTAACGCGTCTGTTAAAAACAGCAAAACAATATGCAGTCAACAACAATGCTCTTAGACTGTAATAGAGTTGGAAAATCTCTGATAGGCAAGTTATAATGTACCTGGTTATCCTGACATTCTAGCAGAAAGCATTGCTCAGTTTTGTGGGATGCTAGTATAAACCACTCCTGATGTAACATAGTATGTAATACTTAGTAACTTGTTAATGTAAACCATCCAGCCATTCTACACTACAGCTTCCCACCTCAAAAAGTGTTTATTTTTTACTACACTGAGGCCACACTGAATGATGTTCTATGCCATCTAGGTTTGTATAAATTATACCCTGTATAAAGCGACTCTAAGCAACATGCAGGACTCCTACACAACTGCAACCTGCTTCAGAATCACCTGAGGCTTCATAGCCCTTAGGCAACCTGAATATGAAGCCAGGTATTGGAGGTCCTGTAAAATACTGTGCATAAACAGGCCTTAACTGTATGCTAATGAATTTGAAGCATTGTAGGAAGAATGAGAACAAACTGCTGGCTCTTTACATGGTTTCTTCTTTGTTTTCGCTATTTTCTTTTGTTTTCTGTTTAATATTTTGATTTAAAACACGAAGCTATCATCCTCCAATAAATCTCAGAGAACTCTGGTTCCACAGTCCCCACTTACCATATCCTGTCGGTGTGGCCACTGACCCAGCAATCGTGGACAAGACCACCTACAACTAGGCAGAGAAGTGCAAATCCGTCACAGGGTAGTCCCACTTAAACCCAAGAGGTCAAAGGTAGAAACAACACCATACATCCTCAGCAGGAATCTTCCGCCCTTCCTCTTGCCTTGGGTTGTTTTGGTGTTTAGCTTGAATAGCTCTAGTTTGAAGAGCATCTCTGTGCAGGGCGATAAGGAATTTACTCCTGAGAAAAGGGAGCAATTACTTTGAGCACTAAGGCTTCATGCCTTGGTGTTAGCACTCACTCCTAGCCACCCACAGCACTTGCCTTCAGCTGTAGACCTTCCTAGAAATCCCAGAAGTTGAGTTTGTCTAAGCACCATTACACAGGAACAATTAGGATACGATCTCAGAGCTAAAAGTTTTCTTCTCTTTTAACCTTTGAGTCCATCCTCTACAAAAGATTATGAGAAATGTCTTATTTTCATAAAAATTTTTGATTTTAATTCTTCCTAAAGGAATACAGATTTGAATGAAATACATTCATCCCATAAATACTTTAGCAGCAAAACCTTCCCAGCAGAGTCCTTCCTCCACTCAAGTCAAGGTTGTACCCCTGAGCAGGAAGGCATGTTCCATCAATCCTGTCAACTTCAGGATGTTTCTGCTTCTTGCCAAAAGCCCTATGCCTGCTCACAGGGACCTGAAAACAGACCCACATGGTGACTAATAACCTTCTCTATCTTCCAAATCCTTTGGTATCCTCTACGCTTAGCTGGTGAGGACCTTTAGCAAGGAAGAAAACTGGGAAGGCCTAACTGAAACCCACCAATGCATTTGGAACTACATGTTGCTTTCAGTCAGCAACATTTTAATGGTTTTCATAAAGTAAACCTACATAAAAGATCATTCCCTTTCTTCCTCCTGTAGGCTGAAGAACTAGTCTTGTCAGGTGAGTCCATGACAGGAGACTACCCAGCAGACATTGTTTGGACACTTAATTCCAGGCACTCTCTGAATGACAGAAGGCTTTTCTGAAGTCAGAGACATGGCCAGACCATAAAGACGCGCATGTACACATAACCAGGTGGCTAACCTTGGCTTCCATTGAAGGTGGTTTTCTGGGCCTTTTCCTCTACCAGCCACTGTCCTCTGACCCATGACTGCTTCTCACCTGCTCCCCCAAACACCTGCTGAGATGGAGAAGCAGGATTTAAACTCTCAAGTGGCCAGAAGGTAGGCAGGTGTTACTTTTCTTTCATATATGTATATATAATTACAGTCACCAAACACTCGATCTGCTGTGCTGCAATTCTCACTGTGAGATGCATACCTTACTTACAATAGTGCATAATATGTGGGCAACAGTGGGGATGGCTGGGGTCAAATCACATTGACTGGAGGAAAAAAAAAATAGAACGATAAGATAAATCTGATTGGTAAGGACAAAAGTCCACGCTGACTCAGGCATAAATGCATCTCCCAAATTACTAAACAAATAAAAAGCAGATACCAAAAGCTGACCCTTTCCTCCCCACCCATTGCTTAAAAATGGGGCAGACACATGCCTTGTTCTCCAGTCCACCCTAAAGAATCCATTTGGATTTCCTCACTAAGTGCCTTAGCTATCCCACTCAGTCCACTTTTGACAGTGGGTTGGAAGGACCAGAAAGCATTCCACATTAGAAACCACTGCAGTGCGTTGGGTTCGTGGTCATCCAGAGCAGGTGTCCTATTTCTGTGTGGGGAGAGGCTCGTCTGCCGAGTAAACAGCACTGCTCATCCTACAGTCGTCCGTTCTCACGGAGTCTGTGAGGTCATCTTCTTCAGAGTCGTCCTCCTCCTCCTGTGCCGAGGAACTCGAGGTGGGCCCTTTGCAGGTCTTCAGGTGCCGAGTGAGATGGTACTTGGTTAGATAAGCCTTTGTACACTTCTCACAGACATAATCTCGTTTTCCTTCGTGAGAATTAAGATGCTTCTTCAAGTGGTTTGTTCTCAAGAACAGTTTATCACACTTCGGACACTTGATCTGACGTTCCCTAAGAGGAACACAAGAACAGCTGCTTTGCTATGTAAACGACAAGCCACACACTCTCCCTCAACTAGGCCTTTATAGGAACTTTTAGAACTGGCTGCTTTTGCCTTCCTAGAATAACTATGCAAACAGGACCATCCAGTATAGATTTCTTTCACTAAATATGAAACCTGTGAAATTCACTCAAGTTACATAACTATACAGTTTGTTCCTTTCCATTAATACAGTATTTACATACAGACAGTCTGCAACTGACTCTGCTATTTCACACCTTGATACCATCTAGAATCATTCTCCTTCCTTACTCCACCCATTTTCTTAATTCTAACTGACCTTGACTAAGCTCAAACTACGAGGGCCAGATCCCTCGGGTTGGCTTACGTACCCCTCTTCAGTAATGGGGATTGGACCCCTGATCTTAAACTAAACAACTGCTCTACTACTTAACTGTATTGCCAGCCCTTTATTTTGTTTTTAATATCTATTTTTATTTTATGTGTGCCAATGTTTTCCTTGCATGTATATCTCTGTACCACTTGCCTGCCTGGTGCCCACAGAGGCCAGAAGAGCGTGCTGGATCCCCTGGAATTGGAGTTATGGGTGGTTGGGAGCCTGCATGTGGAACCATGGAATAAGATCCAAGTTTTCTGCAAGAGCAGTCAGTGATTATAACTGCTGAGCCACCTCCCCAGCACCCCTGTTGTTTTGGCTGGCCTCTAACTCACAATCCTCTGTCTGCCTCAGTGTCCTGAGTGGACGAGACTATAGGAGTATACTGCTGTACCCAGCTGAAGTGCTGTGCTGCTTCTCCAAGGTCTTCAACCTCCCATTCAAATCAGCAAGTCACGTCCCAGACTTGGAGCTCTCTGAAGACCATGTCTTTGCTCTCTGTATCTATCTCCTAACACACGCTGAGCATCAGAGGTCATATAAAAACGTATTGATAAATGAAATGTTTTAAAAACATGGATAAAAACTAAATAAAAACAATGTATAAAAGGGGGCTGGAGAACTCTTCCAGACTGCTCTTCCAGAGGACCCAGGTTCAATTCCCAGCACCCACATGTTGGCTCACCACTGTCCCCTGTTGTAACTCCAGTTTTAGGGGGCCCGACATCCTCACATAGACATACATGCAGGCAAAACAGCAAAGCACATAAAATAAAAATAAAAATTTTTTAAAAAGAGTGTATAAAAATAAAAAAAGAAACAGGGAAGAAACCCCAAGCACTGCTTGGCGACCTGGAACGCAGGAGGCAACAGCCTGAACAGGGCAAGAACCAGATGCTCACTCAGCATCACGGGCAGGGAGCATCTCACTGCCGGGTACTTACTGTGTGTGGATGAGCACATGCTGCTTGAGGTCCTGCCTCCGCATAAACAGCTTGTCACAGTAATCACACTTGAGATTCTTCTCACCCGTGTGGATGACCATGTGGGACTCTAGGTGGGCCTTCTGGGTGAAAGACTTGTCACACAAAGTACACCTGTAATTCTTCTGACCTGCAGATTAACCCAAGACATCATACTGAGAATGAAGTAACTACAGATTTTCAGACAAGTAGACATGTCTGGAGAAACAGTCCAAGCAAGAATCAAGCAGAACTGACCCATGCCTTGGCACTTCATCCACTATGTTACCTACCTAAAAACAGTCTAGGCCATTCCATTTATAACCTAAATTAAAGCCAGTAAATAGACATCTTATCTAAAAGTACATATGGCACATGATACAAACTTTGAAGAAGGAAAAAAAAGTATAATATTAGTGCCTACCTAATTTATAAGAATCTAGGTTAACAATGTAACCACTGACAGAGTGCCTACCTAGCATACCTAAAGCTCTGGATACAACTAACAGCACATTAGCCAGGTATGGTGGAGCATGGCTCACAGCCCAGCATTTGGATCAAAGCAGTGGCGTGCACTTTAATCCCAGCACTCAGCAGGCAGGGGCAGGCAGATTTCTGAGTTTGAGGCCAGAGTGAGTTCCAGGGCAGTCAGTGCTATTACACAGAGGAAAAAGGAGAGAGAGAGACGGGAAAGAAGGGAGGGAAGGAGGGAAAACAGAGAGAGAGAGAAAGAAGGGAGAGAGAGAAAGAAAGAAAGGAGGGAGGGAGGAAGGGAGGGAGGGAAAAATACAAGGTCATTCTCAGCAATGAAGTATGAGGCTAGCTTATAGCTAATGAGACTCACTTCAACAACAAAAAGATAACTTACAAACTATAGCAAATGTCTACAGGTCTATAGACAACGTTTCCATTGAACAGTTTTTTTTTTTTAAGATTTATTTAATTATTATGTATACAACATTCTGCCTCCATGTATGCCCGCACGCCAGGAGGGCACCAGATCTTATTGTAGATGCTTGTGAGCCACCATGTGGTTGCTGGGAATTGAACTCAGGACCTCTGGAAGAGCAGCCAGTGCTCTTAACCACTGAGCCATCTCCTCAGCCCCCTGTATTTTTCTTTTTTAAACACAGTATGATCTCACAAAGCAAAAGTTAAATCAAGCCCTTCCAAGTATATTTAAAAAAAAAAAATTCTAGATCAGGGTTGGCAGGTGGGAGGAAGAAGGGAAGGAGAAAAGAAAAAGTACAGTGTTTGTTTCTGAAGGACACATGGTCTCTGCTCCAACCACCCAGTCTTAATGGAGACTGAAGAATAAACTCCTTTTAGTGATTTGTAGAACAGACGAGTCAACCAGGAAAGTTAAAATCTCACTGGTTATTTTGTAGTATGCATGGGGGAAAAGAGCTGAGGGACTACATACATGCAGACAAAATATTCATACACAACACAAAATACAAATAAATCATTTTTTTTAAGAGCTGCAGAAACTGGTTTACACACAGTGCTTAAAAAAAGGAAGCTTAAACATGGAAACTGGGCAGTGTTTACTGAGCACTCCTGAATAACGGCAGGAAGAACTACAAAGGGAAGCTTGGGTGCTCTGATGGACTCCATTTGCTAAAATGGAAGCACTAGGATCAACTAATTACATTCTTCCAGACTCCTTCAAGCTACACAGTAGGACTCTTTAAAATGAAATGCCTTTGTAACTGGAAGAAACACTCTTAGTAGCCTTAGGTTTCCCACCTCACAAGCCTTACCACCCAATAACATCCTACCTATAGTCATCTGGATACTTTCTATGATGTATTACAACTTTACCTCCAATAATTTTTCAGACAAGTCTTTACGGCTACAATTTCTAATTGCTATAAAAACTCCATGTCGATGGTTCAATACAGCTTACCTGTATGTATTTTGAGGTGTGTTCGCAGGTTGCTTGGATCACTAAAAGCCTTGCTACAAAAATCACACTTGTGGGGCTTCATGCCCATATGACCCATAAAGTGAACGTGGAGTTTGGAAGGAGAGATAAAAGCCTGGGGGCACATGGAACACTTCCACTTTCTTTCCTTGCTGTGACTCGGCCCTTGGCTGCTGCTATGTCCCTGGCCAGGGAGATGGCTATGGATGTGGCTGGTCAGATGAGCTTTGAACTCAGAATAGGAATTGCACTCCTTGCCACAGTTACAGAGGTGCACATCTGGGTGTTCAGGAACACCTATAAAAAAAAAAATCAATATCTCCTGTTACTTTAATTTCAAAATTATTCTTGGCATTAATTACTGATGATTAAAAGAAATCAAAGAATTTCCCCTTCTGCCTAAACTTGCCCACTACCCATCAAATCAAAACTCCCTGTTCAGTGCCAAATTCCTGTCATCTAAAGTAGTACACCAGAACACACAAAAAGTACTTGGTAAACATGAAATTAATAAGATCTTTTTCAGAAAGCATATTCAACAAGTGGTGCTAGCATAACTGGATATCAACATAATGAAAATAGACCCATATCTATCACCATGCACAAAACTCAAGTCCAAATAGATATCAAAGACCTCAACATAAAGCCAGCCACACTGAACCTTATAGAAGAGAAGGTGGCAAGTACATCTGAATGCATTGGCACAGGAGACTACTTCCTAAATATAATCCCAGTAGCACAGACACTGAGAGAAACAATTAATAAATGGAACTTCCTAAAACTTGAAGCTTCTGTAAAGCAAAGGACATGGTCAACAAGACAAAATGGTAGTCTACAGAATGGGAAAAGATTTACCAACCCCACATCAGACAGAGGTCTGATCTCCAAAATATACAAAGAACTCAAGAAACTGGTCATGAAAAGAATAATCCAAGAAAGAAAAAATGAGGTACAGACCTAAACAAACAACTCTCTACAAATGACTCTAAAATGGCTGAAAAAACACTTAAGGAAATGCTCAACACCCTTAGCCATCAGAGAAATGCAAATCAAAACAACTGTGAGATTCTATCTTACACCTGTAAGAATGGTCATGATCAAAAACACTGATGACAACTTATGCTGGAGAGGTTGTAGAGTAAAGGGAACACTTCTGCATTGCTGGTGGGAGCGCAAACTTGTATAGCTACTTAGGGAATCAGTATGGCAATTTCTCAGAAAATTAGGAAACAGCTTACCTCAAGACCCAGCAATACCACTTATGGGTATATACCCAAAGGATGCTCAATCATACTACAAGGACATATGCTCAGCTATGTTCATAGCAGCATTATTTGTCACAGCCAGAACCTGGAAACAACCTAGATGCCTCTTGGCTGAAGAATGGATAAAGAAGATGTGGTACATTTACACAATGGAGTACTACACAGCAGAAAAAAAAAATGGTATCTTGAAATTTGTGGGCAAATGGATGGATCCAGAAAACATCATAACGAGTGAGATAACCCAGACCCAGAAAGACAAATACAATATGTACTCACTCATAAGTGCCTTTTTAACATAAAGCAAAGAAAAACCAGTCGATTCACAATGCCAGAGAACCTCAACAAAGAGGACCCAAGTGAGATGTGCATGGATATAATCTACATGGGAAGTAGAAAAAGACAAAATCTCCTGAATAAATTAGGAGCATGGGGATCATGGGAGAGGGTAGAAGGGGAGAGGGAAGGAAAGGAGGGGAGCAGAGAAAAATACATAGCTCAATAAAAATAATTTTAAAAAATTAAAAATTTATGTGGAAAAAACAGGCTTAAGAAAGAAAAAATGCATATAGACAGGCATAGAAGTAAATGATTTATAAATAACAATAAAAAAGAATAAGCAAAAAAAAAAAAAAGATCTTTTTCCTGGGGAAATCATTGCATTTTGAAGTGCACAGAGCCTTAACTTGTCAATGTAACACAGTAGAAAGAGGCAAAAAACACATTAAATCAAACCCAAGGGACTTTGCTAACTTTCAAGAAGTTCAAAAAAGCAATTTCAGGGATTTGCAAGTCCTGATTCAAAGTCCTACCACAAAAGATTATTTATTTGAAACAGTAACAACCTAGTGAAGAACTACAGATTTCTGTCACCTCACTCATAAAGAGCTAACAACTTGCTTTCATAATGCTACCACTGTGAAATCTATCATGAGAGAGATTTGTTTGTACTGTTCTGAAACAGCTGGTGGAGTTAAACCTTGATTCAGAGGGTGGAGTCCAATTCAGCCAACCATAATAAACCACAGAGTTTTCAGGCCAATCCAGATGAAGATAGACAGCCACAGAGAGGAATGAAGGACTTGGATAGACTGATAGGTCTTTTCAATCTGGGAAGGTGGAGAAGATGGCCAGCTGATCCTTGCTCCATCGCTCGGTGGATCTACCAGGTTTATTTCCTAATACATGACTCCCGAGCTTTATTTATGAACAATAAAAGTAGTGGCAAACTCTCTTACTGGTCACTTATAGTATTACACTAGATTCATTGTAACAAATCTTACCAATCTGTTGAGCATAATCCCGGCTATAATAGAATAGCAGTTCATTTTCAGGGGGGATGTCTTGTGAGGTACAGAAATAGATTTTTCCATCATGGGGATAAGCCACTAAGTTTTGTTCTTCACGGTTCCTACATAATCACATGGAAAAGATCAAGTATAAAAGAACAGATCTCATTATGTTGCTCAGGCTGGTTGTAAACTCCTGGCCTCAATTAACTTTTCATTCAGCTTGCCAATCAGCTAGGGCTACAGGTGTACACCACCATACTTGGCTTAAGGGTACTTTTTATTCAGTGCTATGCATCAAACAAAAGCCTTACACGAACTAGGCAATCAATCCTACCACTAAACTACATCTCGTACCCCTTGAGTACAGTAATTCTGAATACACTAGACATGTCAAGTCCTCCATAGCAGAACCCAATATAAAAGCTTAGACAGAGCTATTCTATCATTTCTGTCTTTCTCTATCCACCCTATTAGAGATTGTGAAAAAACACAATTCTTACTGGGTTACATAGGTGGTTATCTTTTACAGTCAGAAACACTACAGACTGTTACTAGATGCACAATGAGTAAATCGATACCTAGGCATGGGTAATTCACACCTGTAATCCCTGTACTCAAGAGGTAGAGACGGCTTCTTACAGGATTGCTCCAAGTTCCAGGCCAGCCTGATATACATAATGAGAGCCTATCTCAAAACAAACAAAAGATAAATAAAATGAAGTGTTCCTGTTAATTTTGAGGGTCCCAATCGTGTTCAAGCTAACTGGCCTAGAACTTGTAGAGATTCTCCTGTGTCAGGCTCCCAAGTATTGGGTGCTGGGTAACATAGGCCTGAGTCACAATGCCCATGAAGTCTTACAATTTTCTTTATGCCAAATATAAAAAGACAGAAAGCTAACAAAAATTAACTCCAATAAAAGCCTGAAAAAGACTATCACTGATACGAAGAGGCATTCACTGGCAAACTCATGGATGAGTGTATCATTCTTCACTGCACCAGAAGCTGGATAAAATGTTTATTTAAAAAAGACATACTCTGCTTTACAGTCACCCAATCAGCTACAACAGAATGAATGCTGAAAAGGTTTGGGCTTTAAGCATGTCAAGCGTGGTAACTTGTGTTCTGCATATTTCGTGTAAAGTTTTTCTACTGAAAAACTATCTGAATGGTACAGTCCCCTATCTAAACACCCCTTACCTGGCTTTGCGCACAAACATCATCCAGTTACACTCATTTTCATCAGTTGTAATGATGCAGAATTCTAGGACACCATTGTGGTAGATCTGCCAACAGAAGGCAAGCACACACGTCAAGTGAACTGGAAGCCTTCCATTTACTCGGCCAGTAATGAGCTAGCGCCCTCTCTATTTCATGTCACCACTCTTCCCATTTCCAGACACAAGAGCGAGCATCAGCGGTCTTCAGGTGCTGCTCCAAGTACAGAATGAAGTCATTCTTGAATGCCTTTTGGCTAAGAAGGTAAAATACAGTCTACCTGTCTGTCTCTACCAACACTACCAGGTAGGTACAGTGGGAATGACTGTCTCCTAAGGGCAGAGGATTACCCCCACCCATTTTTCCAGTCAGACATCCAAATTAAAATCCCCTATGATGTACTGCCTCCCTGTTTCACTTTTGTACCCAGCATTCTTTAAGATTCTATATTACTATGTTACTAATATAGCTATTGATGTCAAAACCTTATGTTCCCACTAGGAAACTAGAGAAATAATTGTAACTAATTCTAGAACTATATTCCTTATGTCAAATATTAGAGGAATGTTTAGTTAATTAAAAGTAACTTTTATATCAGGCATGCCTTTAATCCCAGCACTCAGGAAGCAGAGGCAGGAGATCTCTGAGTTTGAGGCCAGTGTGGTCTATGAAGTGAGTTCCAGAGATAGTCAAGACTACACAGAGAAACTCTGACTCAAAATAATGAAACTGAAACCAAAACCAAAAAACAAACAAAAACCCAACACATTTATTTTATAAACAAACTTCATAGTTTCAGCAGCCACAAGAAATCAAAATGCATAAAATACTTCAAATGAGAACTAAGACAGCCTGATGGTTAAGAGCAGAGACTCTGGCTTCAGTTCTCAGCTCCCACATGGAGACTCAAAGTGTGTACAACTCCAGTTCCAGAGACTCTGACACCCTCTTCTGGCCTCTACAGGAACTGCACAAAGTGGGACACATTCATTCAGGCACACATAAAAAGTAAAGATAAATCTTTTAAAGAGACCAAAATCACTACAATAATCCATAAAATGAAAACTGTCTCAGCTTATCCCCTATTTGTTCAGCAGCTAGTACACTGCTGTGAAGCTTTTACACCAGAAATAAGAGAATGTAATACAAAATAAATAATGGACAGGTGAATGCACTCTCAGTCTTGCATAACTGACTTGTCCCTTTTTAAACTATCACAAAATAATGAAAACAACCCGAAATATCAAGCATGGCAGTGACATGGATAATTCCAACATCTGGGAAGCTGAAGAGGAGGACTCAAGAGATTGAAGCCAGCGTGGGCTACAGCAGCAGCCAAAAATCAGAAGTTCCTTCAACACTGACCTTCCAGACGTGATTAACTGCCTTGTCTGTCCACTCTGCTACTTCCATGGAGTGACTCTGCTGACCAATTAGAGGCCCAAAGCAAGTCCGCACAGGAATGGTTTCTGCAGTCCATACACCTATCAATGGAAGGACACCAACCACAAAATGACTTGAACAGCTAATACGGGTACTGAGGCAGGAGCTCAACCCGCACAAAGATCTCATTTCACTAATGCTAACAATTTCTGATGTGTCAGCAACCCTAGACAGCTAAGATCTGTGGGTCCAAGCCTACAGTAACAGAACAGAAAGATTAGTCAGTACTTGCCCTGAAAGCCTGATGACTCCACTACCAAAAGTTGTTCTCTGACCTTCACAAGTGTTTCATGGTATGTGTGCACCTGTATTCACACAAACATGCGAAGTATACATGAGCACACATACATTAAACTGAAATGCAGAAAAAGCAAAATCAAATCCCTCTGTACACACACAAAACCGACATCCCTCCATATTATTTTGGAATAAGCAAGAGACAAGGGAACAGTTTATCAAAAAAAAAGCAATTTATATAAAATAAATTTAGCTCCTGAAATATTTTATTGCATGTATTATCTGAGCTGTTTAGTGTTTTCAGGATTCATCCTTGAGCTATGGCTGAAAAATAATAAACCTAATTTCATACTTTCAAAGGGTTGGCACAGCATGTTGGCATGGTAGTTGTGAGTGGATGGAACAGCTGAGAACAGAGTTCTCCACAGACTCAGGCCAGGATTTGTCTTTCTGTTCAATTCTGACTCTCAGGGAAGACGTCAATGTAAGTTTTCATAGGCTTTACTGTTCTCACGATCAGAAGTCAACTATTCCCTAACAGTATACATTTTAAATCACTGACTTCTAGATCAACAAATCACTAATTACACAGACTTACAACTCCATCCTATAAGGAAAGAAAACTTGATGGGATTGTGTGGTCTCTTCGAATAGTCTTACCAACTTCTGTCCCCACAATGGATGGGCGGAGAACAAGTTGCTTTGGGAGGGACAGCCTTGCTCTGCTCTCTATTGGTGTGTCAGGAACAAAAGTCACTGGACCGTGATCAGGGCAGTCTGAGGGGTAGGCTCGGTCACAGAGAGTGCACCCTGTAGACAGCATGCATGAAAGACACAGATGGGCGTGGTACACATAAGTTAAATTTCCATTTGGTATCAAATGCTAATTACTAAATTAACCAGTAAGAAGGGTCTTAATTACATTTATCATAGACTTTATCTTTTTTAAAGATTTTTTTTATCTACTATGTATACAACATTCCTTCCATGTATGCTTGCATGCCAGAAGAGGGCACCAGATCATTATAGATGGCTGTGAGCCACCATGTGGTTGCTGGGAATTGAACTCAGGACCTCTGGAAGAACAGTCAGTAGTACTCTTAACCTCTGAGCCATCTCTCCAGCCCCAATCATAGACTTTAAAGACCAATGCAGAGGGGCTTCTCACTGACTGGCTTCTGAATTTTGGACCCGATTGTTTACTCTATGCGAAAGCTCTTCTGTACCTTTACCAGACGGTTTCATCCCACTACCATGGCCATGCCTCTAGGTAATCCCTCCTGAGCGCCATTAAACATCTCTACTGAACACCTCACACACTGAATCAGCATCTAAAATGGATTCAGCCCCACCTTCCAGCATAACGTTTATGTGGTGTCTCATGGAGGAGACAGAGCTTTCTTTCTAACACTGCCCCTTATGCTACCTGCATGCTCTAAATGACAATTCCACAAAAGGTTTACTGTTTTCATCTTAATTTTGTGAAGACAGAAAATCACCTTTCATTGAATTTCAGCATTATCTCCTTACAATATTTGCCTTCAACAAATCTAACAGCTCACACTGCAATAGAACCCCATCCCAGTCCTTACTCCTAAAACCCTTACGGGTCTTAACTGCCCTGTACGTTCTGTTCCTACTTGTCTCCCTAGGTGACTGTTGCCTCAGCCCTATTTTCCACTGTGGCCATCTGAACCATGTATGATTCTTTTCATTCTAGGCACATACAGATGCCAACGCCTGTCTTCCTACAATGTCTGACCATCTCTCCTGTCCTCAGGCCTATGCTAACACATCCACGCTTCCCATCAGGCTACAAGTCCTCAAGGTCTGTACTGTCTTGGTAACTGTACCCTGCCCCCTGCATCTGGCAGAGCACAGCAGACAGTGCGCAGGTGAAAAGTTTCTTTCATGGCTTAAGAACAAAGTGAAACCAACAGATCAACCATTTTTATACAGAATTTTTGTTGCTCCAATTAAAAAGAACCTTTACATGCCTAACTATTGTAATTCATACACTCTACGACAAACCACTGCATAGCAATATACATTTTCCCAAAGTTATAAAAGTGATCTAGCATTTTTATCTTCTGGCATATGCTAAAAGAGCACGTGTATCACCAAGATTACTTGTGTCAAGTTTCACCCCTGTAATGCTGTTTGGGAGGTACCTTCATACCACAGGGCTACAACTAACTGGTAAAATACAGACATGACTATATTGTCTGTTTGCTTCAAGAAATCAATGTAAGAACCAATAAACTGCATATATATTATCTGACTTGAAAAAGTGGCATCAGATTAATAAAAGGATAATATGAGGGCAAAGAAAAATACCAAAGTGAAATTACTTTCTATACTCCCTTAACTAGCATCAGACTATACCAAACACTAATCAAAACAATGTCATTCTAAAACCAGTATTGAGTGAACTCAGCAATTAAGAGCACTCACTACGCTAGCAGAGGATCCAGGTTTGGTTCCCAGAACCCACATGATGGCTCACACTTTAACTCCAGTTCCAAGGAACCCAACACTGTCCTAGTTTCTGCAGGCCCTGGGCATGCAGGTGGTACATGCACATGCATGCAGGCAAAACCCTCAAACACATGTAATTTTAAAAAACAAAAACCAGTATTTCTAGAAGAGAACAGAGAAGCACACTCACAAATTGTAAACAAGGTTGCCATGTTTTCCTTGTTCGAATTGGAGTCTTCCATTTGCAGTGAAGGTGGTACAAAAGCCAAGCTGTCTGAGGATACATCTACATGACCTGTCCCCATAGCAACCTCCTGCGTGATGGAAGAGACAGCCACAGGCTCTAGGCTAAGGCCAACTTCATGGAGGGAAACAGACTCTAGAGAGGCGAGGTTGTGTGAGGTAGAGAGTGCCACGCTTACAGAGTTGGTGCTCATGGCCACAGAGTGGATGGAGTCACTGAGGGCGCTGTCAGACATCCCATTGACCCGATTTGCAATATGGTCTGTCTCCATGACCACAGGAAGCTCTAGACCACTCCCATGAATGGGTATCACACCACCATGTCCTACAGTGTCTGCTGTCAGGTTGTTGCCCACAGAATCCACAGAGAGAGGTTCATGACTTCTGGAGCCATTGGGGATTTGCGAATGGTCTCCTGCAACACCATCCATTGTAAGTTCCTCTGCCATTCCATCTGTAGAGATTGGGCTGGTAACCCTAGAAACATTCTCCATAGTGATTGTTGTGTCCAATGCCACTTCATGGCCATCATTAGGATGAAGACTTTGGGCACCATGTGTGTTCACAGAACGAGAGTCTATTGAAACAACACCTAATTCTAATCCAACATTTCCATTGGCCTGATAAGGATCTAGTGCTGAAGGGCTGTTGGTGATAGACAATGCTGTATTACCATCAACATTTATAGAGTTGGGGTGGATGTACTGAGGAGGCGGTCTGTCAGCCAAGTAAGATAAAATGCCTGAGAAAAGAAGAGATATCAGAGAAGAGATATTATCACACTGTTATTATATATAAGAAATTTCAAGTGCTAGGAACCATTTTCTTTATGAATACAACTGAGTTAAAAATCCTGCTACTTCTTTAATCAATATGTATATAAGTAGTACATACACCATTCTGCGTTTCTCTATGAAACTCAAATCTCATAGAGATCTCTAATCTCTATGTGGTTGCAATTCTTTGGTCCTAAGATGCTAAAAGCTGCCCCACAAAAATTAAATAAATAAGGAAGAAAAGGAAAGGAAAAGAAGGAAAGAAAGGAAAGAAATGAAAGAAAGGTAGGTAGATAGCCAGCCAGGTGGTGGTGGCACACACCTTTAAAGGCAGATGGATCTACGTGAGTTCAAGGCAAGCCTGGTTCCAGGACAGCCTCAAAAGCTAGAGAAACTTATCTTGAAAAACCAAAAAAAAAAAAATTCCTCATGCCTGTAATATAGTACTTTGAAAGTGGAAGGCAAGAGAACTGGGAACAAGGTTATTTATTCTCTGCTATATAGGCAGTTGCCCAATCTCAAAATAAAAGAGGCCTTCGGAGTAGCTCAGTGGTAATATGCCTTTGTATCATGCATGAGGCCCTAGGTTCAATCCCCACCAAAAAACCAAAACCACTTCAAACCAAAACAATTTTAAAAAATTAAAACTACACTAATGACACTATGAAAAAGAAAAAGAATTATCTTTATCAAACTGCTTCTTTCATATTGAACCATATGCATGTTCTAAGCAAAGCATACAATTATCAACAAATTCAGAGACTGCCATCCAGTAACAACAGAGAAAAAAATATTTTAATCCTAATCTCCAAAAGCTGAGGTCAGAATGGTTCCATCCACCACGCCTACCTTCCCCGACACAACTATAAAACTTACTATGTGGAAGGGTTCCACCCCCCATTCCCCTATCTTCCCCCAACACAATAACTATAAAACTTACCAGGTAGAATAGTTCTGAAGTAACTGCTCTCTAGGTGAGGGTAAGGCGGTGGAGGTAGGGTGTAGTTTCTTTCGGGTAACCCACACATCACCCCTCGATCTCCAATGCCCATGGGGAGCATCAGAGACAAGGCAGAAGGCAGAGAGCTCAGAGAGGGACCCAGGTTTGGAATTGCCACTGGGAGACCTTGGAAAAAAATTTTTTTTTCTTAATTAAAAGATTAGTACCTAAAAACCACTGGCAAAACTTAGAATTTAGAGAAACAAAAGAATCTCCCTGGTAGCCCTTTGTAACCCAAGACACTACTGGATAGTATCTATACCATAACCAAACAGTCCCAGTCCCCAGATTACTTCTCAGAAAGGATCTATGTAGCCCAGGCTGACCTATGACCCAGTGGAATGCTGGGATTACAAGTGTGCATGACCAAACCTGGCCCTCAAATTAGTGTGTACATGTGCACATCATTTTTAAAGTGCTAAACTGATAACTCCAGTTGTTTTTCCTAAACACCCAAACAATTACCAATCTAGTTTGAATAACAACTCAGAGAACAAATTACTTTAAAAACAAAAACAACAAACAGGGGCTGGAAAGATGGCTTAGTGGTTAAGAGCATGTACTGCTCAAGCAGGACCAGAGTTCAGTTCCCAGCAGCCACAGCACTGTAACTCTAGCTCCAGGCCAGAACCTCACGTGCATCTACTTACACATTACTACAAACAGTTAAAAATGACTCCTTAAGGTAAATAAACATTAGAAAACACAACTGTTCACAGGTGTGGTCTCTTGCAGGTAATTTTTTTTTTTTTTTTTGGTTTTTCGAGACAGGGTTTCTCTGTTGTTTTGGAGCCTGTCCTGGAACTTGCTCTGTAGACCAGGCTGTCCTCGAATTCACAGAGATCCGCCTGCCTCTGCCTCCCAAGTGCTGGGATTAAAGGTGTGTGCCACCACCACCCGACTAGTGATAGCTTTTTTAAAGCTTTATTTTCCCTTTTTAATCACTATACATTTCACTTTTAAAACACTCAATGCTTGGCATGGTGGTGCATTACTGTAATCTCAGTACCAAGAAGGCAGAGGCAGAAAGATTTTGAGTTTAGGTCAAGGCTGGGCAACATAGTGAGACCCTGTCTAAAAATGTAACAAACAAAATCCAGGTATGTCTATACTTGGAATCCATCCACATTAAAGTTATATCTAAATCTATATGTGTTTCTTTTCAGCCGTTTCTCTACATGTTATACTTTATAATCAAAACAGTCTGAACTTTACCCACCTTTGATTATATCCATGTACGAAATGCTTAAATGACCTTTCTTGTGCCTAAGCGTTAAATGAAAACCCACCAACTCAGTGCTGATTTGCATATTTTGGTCAAAGGGAGTATTTTTTAATAAGACTATTTTCTAAAGAAATGCCTAAGAAATAAATAGACAGGATAACAGTTCTTTTAAAGTTTTAAAGCCAAGGCTGACCTTCAACTCCTCCTTCCTGACTATATGCCTAAATGCTAAGGTTATAGCATACACCATTATGCTTTTATAAGTTTATTCTGTGGGGCTGGAGAGATGGCCCAGCAGCTAAAAGCATTTGCTACACTCATAAAGTGCCCAGGTTCAGAGTTTTAGCACCCACATGGTATTCACAACCATCTGAAACTTCAATTCCAAGGGATATGACTCCCTGTTCTGGTCTCTGTGGGCACCAGGCATACATGTGGTATATACAAAAGTGATCCTGGGTCTGCTTCAGAAAACTGCCATGTTTTCAATAAGAATCCAACAAATCACACACACCCACCACACAAATAAACTTTAATTTTTTAAAAATCTCTTGTGTTGACACTTTAAGGAAGGAAATGCTAATTTCAGTTAATCTGACTTGGCTGATGCATTTTATTAATTCAGGATAAAATTCTCTACAAATAACTACTTAGAACATCTTTTACACATTACTTAAAATACTAAGCATAAGTCCAGTACAACATTATGAGGCTACATATCCTTAACAATCAATAGTTTACTCATTTCTCATTTCAATAAGAGAGGGAAAGAAAGTAGACAAAGGGTTTCAGAGTCAGGTGTGATGGGCACAGGCCTGTAATCCCAGCACTTGAGAGGTGGAGCCAGAGGATCATGAGTGCAAGGTCACCCTGGTTATATTAAGACTGGGGTCCAAAGGGCTGGAGAGATAGCTCAGAGGTTAAGAGCACTGGCTTCTCTTCCAAGGGTCCTGAGTTCAAGTTCCAGCAACCACAAGGTGGCTAACAACCATCTGTAATGAGATCTGGTGCCCTCTTCTGGCCTGCAGGCATGCGTGTGGGCAGAACACATAATGAATAAATAAATCTTTACAAAAAAAAAGACTGGGTTCAAGACTGGGTTCACTTCTCAAATAGAACAACAAAAAAGGCAGTTATGTGTTTAGGCCTAGGAGAAGAAAAAATGAGCTTCCTCTCCTGTTTCTGCTCACGCTCACAGGGAGTCCCACACAGCTCCATCTCTCTCACCACTTTCCCCCAAAGCCAGGCCTTGCATGTTCCCACAGATTCTCAGTTTCCAACTTAAAACAAACCCAATTAAATGTTCTGAGAACTTCAGAGAAAATTTAACTAATCCTCATCTATTAATTATGGGCACAATGTCGGTGTCAATCAGATGAGTATGAGAAGCCCCGGATAAAAAAAGCCAAGTCAATTTCAGCTCTGAATGAAAGAGTAGCCCAAAACAACTACCAGAAAAAAAACGCTACTCCCATTAGGATGGTGCAACTACACAAAACCCTTGGCAGAGGCCGCTCACTAGTTTCTCTGCCGTACCCTGAACCACACTCATAACTGAACTAAACACAATGTTCAAGTGCAGTGGCTCCCACTCACCTGGGGCAGGGATGGCGCTGTGAGAGGGAGAGGCAGCCAAACCCAGGTGACTTCCTGAGACTGGCAGGGCATTGCTCACAGAGGATGAAGACAGCTGCTCCATCCCCACTGGGCTCAAATTCATGTCATTCATCCTAGGAAAAAGCATACACCACCACAGTAAGCTCATGTTAAAAGAGCCGAGAATCTAGGGATGGGGAATGAATGGAACCTGACCAACTGCTCTGCATGCATGTGACTCAGAAACCACTAGAAGGAACTGTGATTCAGAGTTAACTAATGTAGGTCAATGTCACATACCACACACAGGACTTGAATTTAATCTATCTTGCTCCAAAACCTACACAAGCACCAAACACACAAGTCAACAATCTACAATCTGGCTACAGTGGCTTATTTTGTTTGTTAAACCACCCAATCTTTTCTTCTCATGGTAGGTGCTATTTCCATTTGGCTTACCTGCTCAAACAAGTTGCTTTTAGGCATTCTATTTTAAAGCAGTTGAAGTTTTACTAACCCTCTTTATTGTGAGAAAAAGGTAATCCTGGGTCTGATTCAGATTGTCAATGGCATAAAGGAGCACCATGCTTGCCTAAGGATCTCACACACTGACAGTCATCAGTATCCAACAGCCTTAATACCCTCACACTGAGGGCCATCAAGCAAGCTTTGCTAGAACTCTACTAAAACAATTTTGAATCTTCAAAACTAATTCTGCAAAGTAAGGCAAATAAGGAATTAAGGCTCAAAGATAAAACATTTGCCTCAAATCACAAAGCAGTACAATAAAAGGGCATCAATCATCCTGTAAAGGACTGCCAAAGATGTTCCAACACATCAGACTCTATTGATACACAGATCATTTTCAGAAGGCTGAAGAACCAAGAAATCACCTTTTCTGTACAGCCCTTCTTGCAATGTCATGGAGCACATCTCAAAAGAGTAATAACGAGAGAAAAGGCCATTAACTGCCAGTTGTTATGTAAAGGGATTAGTTTTAGTTAGCTGGGATGGCATAGAACTAGGGAGGCTAAGGCAGAAGGGTTGGTTAAGGCAGAAGGGTTGTCAGAAGTTCCAAGCTTACCCTGTAGTGAACGTAAACTCAATGCCAGTCTACACTATACAGCAATAGCTTGTCTCAAAAGGAAAATATATAGGGCTGGAGAGACGGCTCACGGGTTAAGAGCCCTGCTGCTCTTCCAGAGGACTTAAACTCAGTCTGCAGTAACCATGTTCAGTTCCCAGCATTCACATCAGCTGGCTTCCAGCTCCATGGGGGTTCCCACACCCTCCTAAGGCCTCCAAGGGCACCTACATACACAGCATAGGCACCCACGCGCACACACGTGCGTGCACACACACACATAATTAAAAATAAGTATTTTCAAATACATACTGGTTTCTTTTCTTTTCTCACTCTTGACTGTTATCAAATCATTTTTTTTTAATTTATTTATTTATTATGTATACAAGTGTTTTGCCTGGGTGTATTCTTGTACACCAGAAGAGGGCACCAGATCTCATTGCAGATGGTTGTGAGCCACCATGTGGTTGCTGGGAATTGAACTCAGGACCTCGGAAGAGTAGTCAGTGCTCTTAACCCCTGAGCCATCTCTCCAGCCCATACACATTGGTTTCTAATCAGGACTTAGGGACCATATTATCGTTTACAGAAGCTGGACAGAACACTATTCAAATGAGATCTCTAATGACCTCCCACCCTACTCTGTATTCACTATAACACACTCTTCCTATGACCCAACGGTACATAAGAAACAATGGGTTAAGTGATTTACTCCTGCCTCCCCTAAACCACATACTTTAAGGTTGTATGATGATAAACCTTCATTGTCAACTACAGTGGACTTAGAATCACATGGGCACACAGCTCTGATTGTCTATGAGGGTGTTTCCAGAGAGCTTTAATTGAAAAGGTAAGATGCAGATTGGGCAGTGGTGGCACATGCCTTTAATCCCAGCACTCAGGAGGCTGAGTTAGAGGCCAGCCAGCCTGGTCTACAGAGCGAGTTCCAGGACAGGCTCCAAAGAAGCCACACAGAGAAACCCTGTCTTGAAAAACAAAACAAAACAAAAACAAAAACAAAGAACTACCAAACAAACAAACAAAAAGAGACAAGGTAAGAGACAAGGTAAGATGCACACTGAATGTGGTGGGGGATACTCACATTTAATGGGGTAGGATCCTGTACTAAATAAAAATGAGAAAGCAAACCCACCACCAGCATTTCTCTTTGCTTCCGGATTACAGGTTGCAATGTGACTAGCCTCCCACCATGATGGACTGTGTCACCTTGAACTATAAGCCAAAATACACCATCTTCCCTTAAATCGCTTCTTGTCATGTATTGTCATAGCAACCAGTGTTAGCTAATCCAGTTTGTAATCTTCTTTTTCTAATTAACATATATGTATGTGTGTGATGAAGAGGGCTGAGGATGTATATGTAAGTCTGGAAATAGTTCTCAACTTTCATGTTGTTGAGACAGGGTCTTTGCAGTGATCTGCCAGCTCCAAGGTGATTCTCTGTGCTGGCTTCCCATGTCCCCTAGAAGTGCTAGAACTGCAGATACACACCACTGCACACAGGTTTTTATGTGGGTTCCAAGGACCTAACTGGAATTGTAGGCCCCTTACAGTCAGTGCTTTTATTCACTGAGCCATTTCTCCAGTCCTGGACTGGCACTTTAACTCCATTTTAACAATTTAAAAAATAACCTAAACTTACATAACTAGTCAGAGGTATAGCTGAGTTTGGATCTCAGAACTAATTTAAGAGGCCCAACCTCTTAGCCTAGTAAGAAATTACAAACTGTTTCTGCCATTTACAGAGTCCTATTTGTATTAGGACCAGAATAAATTTGAGGTATAAAATCCTACATAAGCTTGTTTCTTGAATTATACTATATCCATAGGGTTATCATAAAACTAGCTTTTGGACATCAACTAAGTATGAAAGACCTGAAAGCAATGCCCACTCATCACCCTGCCCAGAAAGACCGTGAGAAGCACTAGTAAATGAGGTACACTATCTGAAGGACCACAGATCCTCGCACAAGAGTGGAAACTCCTTGTAGCCATGCTACTTTAACTTGAGAAGTTTCTAGGCTTCAGCTGGTTTACAACAGACATCTCTAATTTTTCCCAGCTGCAACCAGTCCAGGACTGGAGAAATGGCTCAGTGAATAAAAGCACTGGATGTAAGGGGCCTACAATTCCAGTTAGGTCCCTAGAACCCACAGAAACTAAGACAAAATCACCGCTAGCACCATAAAGCCTACAACATTCCGATTACAGTAATATTTTAGAGCAGAGTTAAGTGTCTTCACTTCATATTCTGAAAGCTTTGAACATTAAAGTACATAATGTCAGAAGAAATACCGGTGTGAAATCCTAGGCCTTCTCAAACCAGTTCAAATCAGGCTCAGGACATTTCTGCTTTGTTGTGAGTCTCTAAAATGTGATGACCTCAACAGCCATAAACCAAGGTAACAAGTATTCAAAGATAAAAAACATTAAAAAGGAATGCACACTGTGATCCTCAAAAGGCTTTCCCATTCAAATCGGCAATTCCACGCTACCCACCTGTACCACATCAAATCAAGGCCTAAAGATACTGAATTCCATCTTCCTCACTTCCACCGTCGGCCAATCATCTGTTTTTATGTTTTTAACCAAAAAAAAAAAAAATCACTTGTTAGGTGCAGCCCTCACACTGCTTTCTGGAAAAGTACGGCCACTTTGCAAGACGCATCGACCAGCTCCAATAATTTCATTCAATGCATTTTCTCTTCCACATTCTAAACAGACTTTTAAAGGACTCTGAAAAAAATACCGGCCAAATACAACTCCATCTTTGGTTTGTTTCTATACTGTCTTGGCGCAGTACCTTCTAATTCACCTAGTTTGCACAATTAATAATTTAAATCTCCGCACTTCATCATCCCTGGCTGTATCCCCGAAAACCCAAAGGTGAAGGGTGATGATACTACAAAAACAGACGACTCAAAACAACAAAAACGCTACAATAATTCAAAGACAGGAAGAAAGTGTCAAGCAGCTAACAACGTGTGGCTACTCTGAATAATCACTCTCACCTGGAACCAACTGGTACTCTGGACTTTTTTGTGGGGGGGTGGGTAGTAAGTTCTAGTGCTCCAACCCATTAGCCTGTCACACGTGTATTCCGACCGCACACAAACAAAAGACTCCCCCTCCGGCGCTACCTCCCCGGCATCCCTGGCCCGCCTCACCTGCGCGGGCAGTGCAGGGAACCGGCGTCCGACAGGAGAGCGCCGGGGCCGGGGTCACGTGCTAGCACATCCCGCTGGTGGCCACGCCTCCCCGGACCTCCCGACGTCTCCGAGGCCCGACGGCCGTGCTCCGAGCCAAGTGCCGGGCATGCTGGGCCGCGCCCGGGGCTGTCTTTCCGGAAGCGCTGGCAGCAGCACGGCTGGCCGACCTGGAAGGGGAGAAAAGTGATCAGCTACGGCCTTTCCCAGGCCTGGCCACCTAGCCCGCCCGGCAGCCTCGCCCACCTGAGGCCCGCGCTGGCGAGCACCGGCGTACACGCCAGGCTCTTCATCCAGCCGGAGCTCGGCCCAAGCGCCTCTGCTCGCCCGGGACCCAACGCCCCGCTTGCGGCTCCCCTAACGTTTCCCGCCCACCTCGCCCTGCACAGTCAGGTCCGCCTCCTCAGGGCCACACCCCCTCCCGGGGTGGTTTCCGGTTTCTCAGCCACTCGGGGCGCGTTTCCGGCTTGCCTGTGCTTCGACCTTCCGTTCTGCAGAGTCGCCCCGCCCAGTCGCTGCGCGTGCGCACCGCGGAGAGTCCGTCCCGCCCACCCCGGAAGTAGGCTGGCTTCAAGACGCTCCGCCCAGAGCGCGGCGGCTCAGGTGGACCTCAATCCAATCGAGCGCCGAGTAATCGACCTGCCGTTGCTAGGAGACCAAAACTGATATTCATTGCTAGAACTCCAAGGTCTCCAGACTGTTTTTCGGGCCTAAATTGCATAGCCTCAAGTTAGAGACGCAAGGATCCACGCAGCACGTTTTGAACTTAGGCCACACAGTGAAGGTTCCCTGCTTCCATGTCATAAATGATAGCGCTAGGATTTGTGCAGGTTTCCTTCTCTCTGCCTTTCCGTCCCCATTGCAGGTACAGTGCTAAGAATGCTCATTGAAACTGCACCAGCTGCTCGGTAGCCAACTTTGTACATCACGTTTATTCATGCGGGTGGGTGGGTGGATGTATGTGCTGTTTGTCACGGGAGCAAATGTCCATGTGGAGGTTAGAGAACAACTTACAGCAATCGGCTCTCTCTTTCCCTCATGTGGGTCCCAGGGATCAAAGGGCCTTACCCTCGGAGCCAGTCTATATGTGGCAATTTCTTAACGCACAAAATTCACTAATCATACTAAGTAATTGCCCAACAGAATATGTGTGTGTGTGTGTATACATACATACATACATATATATATTTATGTACAAAGGCATGTGCACAAATATCTTTTGCAACTTTGTTAATAATAATGATCTCATAATCATCTCAATGTGCATCAACCAGTGAGAGTTACATTAAATTACTGGGGGAGAGCCCTCTAGGCAGCGATAAAAAGGAACAAATTATTAGCATATGGGTGGACCTCAAGAAGCTTTCTACACTAAGTGAAGACTATCAAACACAAAAGACTACAAGTCTGTGTAAAGTTCTAGAAAAGGCCAAACTAACAGCTCTAGCAGCTGTCGGAGTAGTGATAGGTGAAGGGATAACATTGCCTACAAAGAGGAGCCATTTAGGATGTTGTTTTCATGCCTGTATCTGCTTATTAAAATTAATCAAATAACAGATTCAACACAATGCCCATCAAAATCCCAGCAAAATTCTTCAAAGACCTCAAAAGAATGGTACTCAACTTCATATGGAAAAGCGAAAAACCCAGGATAGCCAAAGCAATCCTGTGCCATAAAAGAACTTCTTGAGGCATCACAATCCCTGACTGCAAACTTTACTACAGAGCTACAGTACTGAAAACAGCCTGGTATTGGCATAAGAACAGACAGGAGGACCAATGGAATCGAATAGAAGACCTGGATATCAATTCACACACCTTCGAACACCTGATCTTTGATAAAGAAGCAAAAAATATCAAATAGAAAAAAAGCATATTTTACAAATGTTGCTGGCATAACTGGATATCAACATAAAGAAGAATGAAAATAGACCCATATCTATCACCATGCACAAAACTCAAGTTCAAATGGATTAAAGACCTCAATATAAAGCCAGCCACACTGAACCTTATAGAAGAGAAAGTGGGAAGTACACTTGAACACATTGGCACAGGAGACCACTTTCTAAATAGAACCCCAGCAGCACAGACACTGAGAAAAACAATTAATAAATGGGACCCCCTGAAACTGAAAAGCTTCTGTAAAGCAAAGGACACGGTCAACAAGACAAAACGACAGCCTACAGAATGGGAAAAGATCTTTACTAACCCCACATCAGACAGAGGTCTGATCTCCAAAATATACAAAGAACTCAAGAAATTGGACACCAAAAGATCACATAATCCAATTTTAAAAATGGAGTACAGATCTAAACAGAGAACTCTCAACAGAGGAATCTAAAATGGCTGAAAGACACTTAAAAAATATTCAACATCCTTAGTCATCAGAGAAATGCACATCAAAACAACTCTGAGATTCCATCTTACACCTGTAAGAATGGCCAAAATCAAAAACACTGAAGACAACTTACGCTGGAGAGGTTGTGGGGAAAAGGGAACACTTCTGCATTGCTGGTGGGAGTGCAAGCTGGTACAACCCCTTTGGATGTCAGTGTGGCGATTTCTCAGAAAATTAGAAAACAACCTTCCTCAAGACCCAGTAATACCACATTTGGGTATGTATCCAAAGGATGCTCAATCATGCCACAAGGACATGTGCTCAACTCTGTCCATAGCAGCTTTGTCACAGCCAGAACCTGGAAACAACCGAAGAATGGATAAGGAAAATTGGTACACAGTGGAGTACTACACAGCAAAAAATAAACAAACAAACAAACAAAAAAACGACAGCTTAAATTTTGCAGGAAAATGGGTGGAGCTAGTAAACATTATTTTGAGTGAGATAACCCAGACACAGAAAAATAATTATCGCATGTACTCACTCATAGGTGGTTTTTAAACATAAAGCAAAGAAAGTCAGCCTACAAACCACAATCCCAGAGAACTTAGACAACAATGTGGACTCTAAGAGAGACTTACATGGCTCTAATTAATCTACATGGGAAGTAGAAAGTAGAAAAAGACAAGATCTCCTGAGTAAATTAGGAGCATGGGGACCTTGGGGTAGGATTGAAGGGGAGAGGGAAGAAGCAGGGAGGGGAGCAGAAAAAAATGTAGAGCTCAATAAATATCAATAAAAAAATTAATCAAATAATAATGTTAAGATTGATGAGTTTTGCCAAGTGATGTTGCATGCCTTTAATCTCTGCAGTGGAGAGGCAGAGGCAAGCAGATCTGAGAGTTCAAGGCCAGCCTGGTCTACATAGTGAGTTCCAGGACAGCTGAGCTACATAGAGAAACCCTGTCTCAAAAAAACCCAAAAGAATGATGGATGGACAGACAGACAGACAGAAAGAAAGAAAGAAAGAAAGAAAGAAAGAAAGAAAGAAAGAAAGAAAGAAAGAGAGAAAGGAAGGAAAGGAGGGAGGGAGGGAGGGAAGGAGGGAGGGAGGAAGGAAGAAGAGCGGAAGATATAGTTGGGCGGTGGTGGTGCATGCTTTTTATTCCAGCACTTGGGAGGCAGAGGCAAGCAGATCTCTATGAATTCAAGGCCAACCTCGTCTTCAGAGCTAGTTCCAGGACAGCCAGGGCTACACAAAGAAGCCCTGTCTTGGAAAAATAATGATGAGTTTGTCATAAGCAAAAGTACGTTAAAAATTCAAAAGTTGGGCATGGTAGTGCACATTAGTAATATCGATACGTAGGACTGCTGAGGCAGGAGGATCAGAAGTTCAAGGTCATTCTGGTTTATACAATAAGTTCTAGGCTAATCCTGGACCACGAAGGATTCTAGCAAGTTGTAGCCCAGCATGTAAAGATACTTTCTTTATAGACAAAATGACCTGAATTCAATCCCTGGAACTCACTTAAAGATGAAAAAGAGTCAGCTCTAAAGCTGTCTTCTAACCACCGCGTGTATCATGGTACATGTGCCCACACATATCATAAACCCACATAGTGGTTTTTTTTTTATTTTTTTAAGAGCCACCATAATGGCTCAGCAGGTAATGACACTTGCTTCCAAGCCTGATTAACATATTTTCATTTTCCAGACCCCTCATGGTGGATGGGGAGAATCAACTTGTAAGTTGTTCTCAGATCACCACATGCATAACATGATATAGGTGCATATACATGCATGTGTGCTCATGAATACACACACATACACACACAAGCAAACTAATAGGTGATACACGGTTAACAAAAACTCTGCGAAAGAAACTGGGGTTCAACCTGAAGATCATAAAAGTAAAACAGCCAGCCACTGGCTCTTTATTTTAAAAAAAAAGACTTATTTATTTGATGTATATGACTGCTCTATCGACTTTATACCAGAAGAGGACATCAAATCCCACTATAGATGATAGTAAGCCACCATGTGGTTGCTGGGAATTGAACTCAGGACCTCTGGAAAAGCAGCCAGTGTTCTTAACCATTGAGCCATCTCTCCAGCCCCAGCCACTGGCTCTTACCTCTACCTCAGTCTGAAATGGCGATCCTTCCCCCAGAAATCTCAGAATGAGACCGTGTCTGAGAGCTGTCTCTCCTGTTTTATAACCCTCTCTAGTTTGGGGATTAAAGGCGTGCACCACTACTGTCTTGTTTCTATGGCAAGCTAGTGTGACCACTGGGATTAAAAGTGTGTTATTGCTGCCTGGTCTGTAAGGCTGATCAGTGTGCCTGTTTTACTCTCTGAACTTCAGGCAGGATGCACACCATACAGACATTCATGCAAACAAAACACTCATACTGATAAAATAAGAATAAATAAATCTAGGGTAAGCTAAAAAAAAATTTGTGTGTGTTTGTTTGTGTGGGGCTATGTGCATATAAGTAGATGTCTGTTCTACCCAGAAAGAGTTCATCAGATCCCCAGGACCTGAAGTTACAGAGGTTGTGAGCCACTGGACATGCGTGCTGAGAATCTAATTGTCCTGTGCAAGAGCAGTCTATATGCATAACCACTATGCAGTCTCTCTAACCCCTGTTTGTAGTGGCATTTCATATGTATTTTAACATAAAAATACTAATAAATAGTAGTAAATAATTATGGCTCATTAAATCTTGCTGAAAACTATATGATCTTTAAACCAGAGTGTAAGGGTATAGGTACAGGATTAATAAAGCTTTTGCCTCTCTGCATGACAACCGACCTTCACCTAGCCTTATTCTTTCTGTCCTTCTGAACCCTGATGAACTCCCCAGACCATTAGGCAACCTCACCTGCATTAAAACAATGGGTTGATGGGCAAATTATATTCTGACTGGCAGATGTTAGTACTGGATCAGAGAGTAAAGTTTTGGGACTCCCTGAGTGTGGAAACTCCTTGAGCCCCTGAGGTTGGTGGAAGCTCTTTTTATGGAATGGTGATTTTAAAAA